ACCAACTAGAAACAAACCAGAAACCAACTAGAAATCAACTAGAAACAAACCAGAAACCAACTAGAAATCAACTAGAAATCAACCTGAGACAAACCAGAAACCAACTAGAAACCAACTAGAAATCAACCTGAGACAAACCAGAAACCAACTAGAAACAAACCAGAAACAAACCAGAAACCAACTAGAAACCAACTAGAAATAAACTAGAAACTACCTTCATGAAGCTGATCTCCATCAAAGGGAAGTTGAAGGCGCAGTCCAGCGGTGTGGCAACGATCCTGTAAGTGACCTGAGAAGCGGTCGGTTGGTGTTTGGTGACGGAGAACGATTTGATGGACTTCCCAGAGTCCTCGAAGGGAGGAGGTCTTCTCCTGAGGAGGACAGCTGGGAAACGACAGGAGATGAAATGAGTCACTAAGTTAATCATGAAGACCAGGGGCCTCATGCATAAAGCGGCGTGCACAAAAAATGTGCGGTCCCATATTTTATGCACAAGTCGGCATGTATAAAAATTAACTTTGCATCAAGGTTTACACACTTTTTCGCTCGGCGTGAAAATGTGCAGCAGCCACACAAACTTTTTCTGTGAACAATATCAAACCACAAAGCGTCAAAACACACCTAAAATCAATGAAGTCTGACTACATTCAGTTATTTAGACCAAGAAGCACCAAACCAATGTTTTTCATGATTTTAATATTTTATTGTTAAACGATGAAACTGAACCCATTCATCCTCAGACAATAAGCTAACACGAACACAAAATAAAAATAAAAGGATGTGAAAACCTCGCTCCAATGTAAATGGCACTTTTCCTCAGTTTGTGTCTCATAGAGATGTAACACATTGATCTGTGAGCCGAAATGCATCTATGGGGTCATTTCATTCTCACTGAAAACAGGAAACAGGCTCAGCAGATTAACTCCAACCTGCTGAGTGAAACTAATCAACAGCTTTGATTATTTGAGGTGATCCAGGTGTGTCTGCAGTCACACGGATATCAGTAGCTGCATCCAGGTGAGCCGTAATGTGGAGCTTTGGCTCTGATGGAGAACAGAGGGAGGATTGATCAGAGATCATATTGATCTGATGGTTTATTGGTGTTTAGATTCATCCAGACTGATCATCCTGGGTCTCTGAGCAGAACTTAAAGAAGGAGCCGAGCGGTACCGGTACCGGTCCAGCTGCAGCCATCCAGCCTCCCGCTTTGTGAAAGCGCCTTATGGACATAAAGCATCTTTATTCTGTAAATGTACAACTTATTCACATGATTCTACTATTCAGAATAAACGTCCACATTCCCACCCAAAGGCCCTCTGACTCTCTGTCTCTAAATCCCGGCTGAACTGCTGCTGTTCAGGCACTTGAACTTAGACCTCTTTGTTTTTTATTTTATTAATTTGGATTTTTTTCCCGGGTATTTATGCTAATTTACATTAAGACGTATTTATGGAGGCGACAGGCGGAGCAGCAGCTGCTCCGTTTCCTGTAAATTAGGATTTATAAAGGAAAGGTGCGCAGCCATGTGTGTGTGCACGGCTTTATACATCTGATACTTTTTGTGTGCTGCACTTTTCTAAATTTTTCTCCAAGTTTTAGTGTGAAAACTGCGCAGTGTTTTATGCATGAGGCCCCCAGTCTGGTTTAACTCCACACCAGCTGAACTAGGAGGAAGTTTGACCCGCACCGTTCTCGTCCATGGCAGTCGGAGTCTTCCCAATGTGAACCGCGTCCACATAGTAGTCTGCGGCGGAGGCGTCTCTGTAGAGAAGCAGCTCCTGCAGGAGGAACCTGCTGCCGACCACGGCGGTCTGAAGGGCGCTCTGAAGATCAACGCACTTGTAGCTCCACCTGAGGGGAAAGTATGAGCCTCAGAGCGCCACAGAGGCATCACGGCCTCTTCCTCTGCGCACTCATTACCTGTCCCCGCTGCTGAACATGGTGCTGATCCTGGAGGTCTGGGTCTGGGTCTGACCACTGCTGTCACTGTAGCTGAACTTCACCCCCATCTCGTCCCTCAGACGTCCCTTATAGGCAAAGCAGAGCTGGGGAGACAGAGGAAAAGTTTCTGACACCTGGAGGACTTCAGGCTCTCTCCTAGACACGGTTTAGACACGTTTCTGTCACGTTTTCTGCTTTAAGCCTCTGAGGAGCCAATTTGACTGTTTTCTTGTATGTTTTTCAAATGTTGGAAGCGTTCAGATCAAAGCTGCATATCTGTCCATCCGTCTTACGGTGGGGTGCTGGTCCAGGGACACCGGTCCATACTGTCCTCCGGACTCTTTGGTGAAGGTTTCCCTGAACAGAGCGTCTGCGTTCTTCAGTGACCAGAACCCGCAGAACCCGGAGTGGTCCTCAGGAGTCCCACTCTGAGCGGCGGTGAACTGTGGAGGTCAGAGGTCAGTTAGGGGACAGTTGGACAGCGTCAGGACGTCTCATGCCTGATGACACACTGCTTCACTTTGTCCACTGACCTCAGGGTCCTCAAAGTCGTTGAAGTACTTGACGTTGGTGCCCTGAGTGGTCAGAACCTCGGCGGGACAATCAGCCTTCATCAGGTCCTCCAGGACGGACTGGACCTGTCCAGAAACACGACCGGAGACATCTCAGAGGAGACGAAATGGAGACCAGATCTGAGTCTGACGACCATCAGGTGGACAGGTACGGACCTCGGACGCAGTGGCGTTGAAGGCAACGGGTGCCGCAGGAAACCCGGCCCAACTCAGAGTGAAGGCTGCCATGTTGCTTTGACCCTTGGTGACCTCTGAGACGGAGACGTTGGTGTCTGAGCCGAAGACCTCAAAGTTCAGAGGGGCAAAGTCACCTGGCAGAGGACAAAGGTTTCAATCATTTATCGTAGCTTAGATGCTTAAAATGGCCGTTGAGCACAAACTGATGGAAACGTAGAAATGTTCTGGTCCGAACTGAATGACTGATTCTGCTCTTATCTGACACATTAAGCTCTCAGCTCCGTTTCAGGGCGCCGTGTATGGAGGAATATTCCTGCCATAATCCAAGAGCTCACATTTTCATTTTGAAAGCAGGATTTCATGCCTTTCTTCTCAAAACTCGCAACTCTTGTACTCAAAACTTCTCTGGCTGACAGTCTCTGCTCAGACTCTCTGCTCGCTTGCAAAACATGGAACTGCCTTTTGGCACAGTCGCCAGGCAACCTCTCCGCCAAAAAATGAAAGTGTTGTGCTGGGTGTGTTTGTTTCCTTATAGCGGGTGAGCCTGTGTGGCTACTATTGATTGTAGCAACCTGTGCCACCTACTGGATGTAGGGAGAAACAACAATGTCAGCTTTCTGTTCCGTAGCAGACTAAATATCTGCCAGAAGTGCTACTGATCGCTAACAGCTACTGATCGCTAACAGCTGCTCATCACTAACAGCTGCTCATCGCTAACAGCTACTGATCGCTAACAGCTGCTGATCGCTAACAGCTACTGATCGCTAACAGCTGCTCATCACTAACAGCTGCTCATCGCTAACAGCTACTGATCGCTAACAGCTACTGATCGCTAACAGCTACTGATCGCTAACAGCTACTGATCGCTAACAGCTACTGATCGCTAACAGCTGCTCATCACTAACAGCTGCTCATCACTAACAGCTGCTCATCGCTAACAGCTGCTCATCACTAACAGCTGCTCATCGCTAACAGCTACTGATCTTAGGCAGGATTTTGTTCACCCAACCAAAGACAACAGTTACGACTTGATATCTATTGATCGATCAATATATGTGTGTATAGGGAGAAACATTGGTTGTTCCTCCCTACATCCAGTAGGTGGTGCAGGTTGCTACAATCAATAGTAGACACACAGGCACATCCACTAGAAGGAAACAAGTGCACCCAGTACAACACTGTCATTCTATTGGCTGAGGTTGCTAGGCGACTGTGCCAAAAGGCGTTTCCAAAAGCGAGCAGAGAGTCTGAGCAGAGACTAAGTGAGAGCACCAGGAGAAGTTTTGAGTACAAGCGTTACAAGTTAAGTTAACAAAAATATGAAGTCCTGCTTTCAAAATGGAAATATAAGCAAAAGTATTACAAGTTTTGAGAACAAAAGACATGAAATCCTGTTTTCAGACTGAACATGTGTGCTCTTGGATTATCCATAGCGAAGACATTCGACGCTTTTCCGGCTCAAGACCATGGCCTCGGATTTGGAGGCCATGGTCTTGGAGACCGACTTACTGCCGGCAATGTGGACCAGACTCTGACACCGGTCGTACAGGGACCTGACAGCCCGTATCAAAGGGCCCGGTACCCCATGCTCCCGGAGAACCCCCCCACAGGGCCCCATAGGGACACGGTCCAACGCCTTCTCCAAGTCCACAAAACACATGTAGACCGGTTGGGCGAACTCCCATGCACCCTCCAGGACCCTGCTGAGGGTGTAGAGCTGGTCCAGTGTTCCACGACCAGGACGAAAACCACACTGCTCTTCCTGAATCCGAGGTTCGACTATCCGATGGACCCTCCGCTCCAGGACCCCTGAATAGACCTTACCAGGAGGCTTAAGAGTGTGACCACCCTGTAATTGGAGCACACCCTCCGGTCCCCCTTTCTGAACAGGAGGACCACCACCCCAGTCTGCCGATCCAGGGGAACTGCCCCCGATGTCCATGCGATGTTGCAGAGTCACGTCATGGACTCTTGGATTCCTCTTGGATTAAGGCAGGAAAATTCCTCCATAGCTGAGGAACTCCATCCATCCGCAGCCTGAAGACCTGAAGGCCTGGCTGGGCCCTCCGTGTTGGAGCCTCTTAACTCTCGTGTAACCCGAGTGTAGATGTTGAGTTCCATTTTCTGGTTCTCTACTATTTATCCCCTTCGCCTTCCAAAGTCTCGCGATAGTTTGATATATAACTGCAATTCTCGCGAGAATTACTAAGCAGCCAATGGTTGTTGAGTGTCTGAGTCACATGTACCAGCTAATATACCCATTTGCTGGGTATATTATGAACTGCGGAATTGGCCAGGTTCCATGGCGAGCTGAAGATTCGGGTCAAGAGCCTAAAAGGATTTCACCTGTGGTGCCAAAAGGTTTGGTTTCCCCACCAGGCTGGTGGGAGACTTCCTGCAGCCCAGGAACAAAACTGTTCCCACTCTGATCTGACTTTTGTCAGCCTAGGAACTGCAGCAAGCGCTCTAGCCAACTCACCTGACCTGTTGAACCACCCCAGTTCTGGGGGTTAATAAACTGAATGGTGTGGCTTGTTGCCAGAACTATGGAACTCATTTATGTTTCTTTGATTTGTTAATTTAATTGTTTTTCTTGTGTATTTTTTTTATTTAACATGGCCATTTGAATGTTCTGTTTTTCCTATTGTGATGTACATATGTATATAATTATTCACTGTGAATACAAGGCACTCACATCTGCAAACTTCTAGTCTGTCTACTCCTTCATGAGTCGTATCTTGACTTCTGAGAACTAGCCCATTGACCCTGTTGGTCATAATCTATTTTCAATTATTTAGAAATATAGTATACTGTCGTTTACACAGTGTGTGCGAGGACTGAGACAAACGTAGAGGACTATGGCAAATGATACAAGTTTTACATGTGTGGGGTCGGTTGGACCCCATTTCTACATACAAGGGCTAAAGGAACAGTGACCCGCTGACTGATCCCCCAGATCGAAGGACTAAAATAACATCACTGTTGGACAACGTCTCTCCGTGCCCGTGATTGGACAATGTGTTGTCCCCGCTGCTGAATGTCTGTCCATTTCCTTGAATGTCCCCTCTGAGGGACGATAAAGGTTATTTGTGTTCCATTTCTCCTCAATCCTAAAATCAGATGTGAAGCTTGGATACATCACCATGAAAAGGCTAGCTTAGCAACTGCACAGATTGAACACTGCTCTGTTCACCAGCTGCTTGGACTTAAGTTCCCATCTCTACTTTAGTTTCCCAAACTCAGCAGATGCTTGACAGTCATCAGGAAGCTGCTGTGGGACTGAGAGAACATTTCAGTCAGGAGCTCAGGATGTTGGCTGAACTCTGGTCACTCAGACAGGAACGTATTCAGACCAACTGGAGCGACCAGAGTTGTTAGCTCCCTGGAAGTGATGCTGCAGCCTGAACGTGTCATTCTGCCAGTTGCTTTGTCCTCCCACCTCTGTCAGAGTTGAAGGTGACGGTGTAGTGAGACCCCTGGGCGTCCTCCTGCTTGGTGACGGTGACGCTGTCAGGTTTGATAGACCACAGGTTGTTCAGAGCCGCCTGTAGCTCCTCCGCTGAGGCGCTCACAGGGACGAGTCCTGCAGGAGAAAACACCAAACCATCAGGAGTTTCACAGGCGCAGAGCGGCCGGCTAGCAGGCGGCGGAGCACGGAAGTCACCGGTCTGGGCGTTCCCGTAGCGCAGGCTGAAGAAGGTGCTTCCACATAGATGGCTGGCACAGCCGCTGCTGACGCTGACCTTCTGCACCTCCCTGACGGCTGCGACCCCAGAGGACCACGAGTCAAAGGTCAGCACCTGATGGACGGTGGACATGAGACAAAGAGGAGCTCAGATGAAGGAAGGAGCCAGAGGAGGGATTCTGTCCTGCGGTTTGTCTTTGGGACAATGAACGTCTCGCTGCATTAGAAGCAGTGACAGAAGAAGCGACGGTTCTAATCTGGGAAGTTTAACCATGAGACGTCCTGCGTCCTCTGATCCCACTGAAGAACAGTTTTACTCAGGAAGCTTGAACCCTGAAGTCCATTCTGGCTCTCGCTGGTCTTGCAAACCTGAACATTTACATTCCAGGGTTTCCTCCAGCCTGGCAGCCTGCCAGGCTTATGATACACAGAGAAACCCTGTTCACCACTGACTCTGACCGTTCCTCTTGGGCCAGAACCAATATGGAGCCCAGAGCAGAATTTCCTTATAATTTCCTATAAAACTGCACTGATGTTTTCAAACTTTAAAGAATTAACCTGGTAAATTTAAATTTAAAGTTTTTTAAAATTCCAGTTAGAAAACTGGGAGCAAATTTAAAAGAGTTAAAGTTCTGATCTGGAGTCCTGATCCTGTACCTGCTCCTCGTCAAATGCTTCATATTCAGCGACAATGTCCTGGATTTCATCGACGGCGTCGTCCGACTGCGCTGCTGTGAAGGAACTTTCCTCCTGGAACAGGCCGATGTTGAGCGAAGCGATGCCGTAATACTCCTGCTGCAGAAGCTCCAGGTAGTACCTGCAGATGGAAAACCAGCTGATGAGATGAACAAACCGCTTTCTGCCACATAAGCTGTGAAGTCATGCTCACGGTTTTCCTTTCTCCAGGAAAAGCATTTCGGATTTCTGGGACTCCAGCTGGAAGAAGTCTCCGACATATCTGGGCTGGAAAGCCACTTTCACCTGGAGAGAGGAAGTGGGAACGTCAAAGCAGGAAGTGAAGCCGCCTATCGTCAGGAATCAGCAGCAGCTGCTACCTTGTCTTCTGGCCGGCTGGAGTTGCTCAGGTACAGGTCACACCTGTCGTCACAGTGCAGGTATATGTTGAAGTTCCCGCTGAGCGGCGGAATGAGGAAGCCTCTGGTCCGAGAGGCGAACAGATCGTCTTCCCTGGGGAAGACGTGCGGCAGCGTGTCGATCCACTGGGACCGGTAACCGCTCGTGTTCTGGTTGTAGCTCCAGATCTCGTCCAAGGAGCGCGGACGCTTGTCGCTCCACACGTCCATCTTCAGGCCCCGCCCACCTGGAGGCGCATGGGACAGCATCAGGTACAGAATCCAGCTGACGCTGTTCGATAGCCAGGAAGTACTGCTGGATGCTCCGGTCTTTAACAAAATAAAAGATTCCAACAATCTGATTTTAGGGAAAAGTGGCAGAGAAATGGTTCTGATCAGCTTCAAGTCTAATTTTCCAGACGCATTCCAGTTTCATATGTAAGCTGAATCTTCTGTCGTCAGTCATGGCGTCCCTCAGGGTCCTGATTTAGGCCCCGCCCTCTTTCACGAGGAAACATTCCTTTGATGTCAGAAAACCTGATTATCTGCCAGCTCTACTTCCTTTGAAACCAAATCACCGTCCAATCAGAACCCTTTGCTCAAGCTACGTGGTCCTACCTGTGACTCTACCTGTGACTCTACCTGTGACTCTACCTGTGACTCTACCTGTGACTCCACCTGTGACTCTACCTGTGACTCCACCTGTGACTCTACCTTTGTGTTATGCTGATAAGATTTAGTTTCATTTTGCTGCTTTATTGTTTCTTTCTGTTTTTGTATAATCTTCCGTTTTTTTGGGGGGTTTTTTCTGTTTTTATTAGTGACTGCTGTCTCTTGTTTCAGTTTTTTGTTCTGTTTTTGCAGCGACAGCCAAACCAAGCGATTCCTCATGACAGTTTTTACACGCTGGAGGCTGAAACTGAGACGTTAACGTGATTTTCAGACTGAAGCAGCTCGGCGTTGTTTGTCTGCGGAAGCGACGGCTTGAACGGAGAATCATCTGCAGCCGCGGGCGATCGGAGCCCAGATGGAACCGGATCTGTGCTAACCCCCAGTTTTAGTTGATGTTCTGAACAATCTGCACAAACAGGTGTTGGGTTCATCTGTCAGATAGCATAACATCAGCCCCAAGCAGAGCCACGTGTTGCTTTGGACCTTTCCAGACAGTTTCTTTAAGATGAAACGTCTGAACTGTGGAAACTTCTGAGTGCAACTGTTTGTGGGAAATTCTGCATGATTTGAATTGCATTCAAATCTCATGAAAATCCTGCAGTACAGAACAAACCAACCACTGTAGCTGGCAGATTTCCACATTTTTGTTTTCCAGAACAGTCCTGAGTGATGCTGCTGGGCCAATCAGGGAAGCCCTTCCTTCTCTGAATAACCCTAGCTCGTGTGTTTTGCTCCTGCATTTTTGGAAATGTGAAACTGTGAGAAGCAGAGCGTGACCCAGCAGCTCCGCTCCATGGTTCTGATAACAGATCGGCTGTTCTGCTCCATCCATGCCGACACTTTGATGGCAGATTAAATTCCAGCTAGCTGGCATCAGCCTCACCAGCTCTCACCTGGGTGAACCTGCCGGTGGTCGTCCGCCGGCCGTCCGGCCGTCCTGCAGGTGATCCTGTCGTCCGCCACGCTCTGGACCTCACAGGGCCGACCTGCAGACAGAAACCACAGCAGGAGAAAACGTCTAAAGCCACAGATAAAAGAGCTGGTAATGATAAGCTCCAGGTCAAACTAAGAAAACATTTTGCACCTTTAATCCATCCATCTGACTTTGAGAAAGAAACCCATTAATTTTCTGATTATCATGAGTAAAGATCTTTGGTAGCTGTACATATTGGATTGTTTTCTCTGGTTTGAAGGATTATTTTAATCAGATTGTGTTGTCAGTCACCAGCTGCTGTCAGCAGCAGCGAATGAAGGACAATCGGCTGAATCGCTGTTGTCACGGTCTGCCGAGTATCTGAGACACAGCACATTATTTCCTTTCATCTGTGATCCTTTCCTTTTGTCTGAAGTCTTTGTGCTTTCTGTGGTGTTAAAAGGATTATCTCCACTACATGACTTTAAAACAGACAGCATTCATCTGTTCATGATGAACATTTTGTTTTGCCATTCTTCAGGAAAACTGGTTCTGACAGCGTTTTAAAAAGTTTCCACCCTGACAGTCACGTTTACCTCCGACTAGAACCCGGGCGGGTTCATCGGTCTGGTCGAAGAAGCGGCCGTGGATGGTGAGCAGGGTTCCCCCCATGACGCTGCCCTGGGATGGGGAGACGGCGGTCACCTCTGGGCAGGAAGTCAGCAGGAAGTCAGCAGAGGAGCAGAAATCTGATGCTGCGTTTCTCACTAACATACCTGCAAACGTCTGGAACATGGAGAGTCTGGACAAAGATGAAACCCAGAACAGATTCTTCTCTGGGAAACTCCTGAAATGCAACAAGAGTAAAGATTAAAAAGTGACAACAATAACATTGCGGAGTTAATAATAATGCTGTCATTCATTTGCTCTCTGAAGCCTCAACGAAAGCACAACTTGGTCTTTAAATGAGCCATTATTGAATTATATCCTACTGATTCTTTTAGAGAAATGCTTATAACTGTTGCTGCAGTTTGTAGATGAGTATTTAAGTGTTGCTGTTTGCAAAGTTACACAGTCAGAAATTAACAGCAATATTTTTATTATTTAGCCAGTAATAAAAGAAATGGGGGTTCATATTTCTAACATAATATTCATTCATCCATAAATACCATAACTTCAAGCTAAATGTTTAGTTGGTAATATTTATAAATATTAATATTAAGCTAAATATAAATATTTATATTTCCATTTGAGTTAGCTAATATTCAGTTAGCGCCGAGCTAGCTACTTTTTCAGTCATATTTTCACCATGTTATTCATCCATCTGTAGATGTTGTAGTTTAAAACTATTAATAGCTAAATATTTCACTTCAAGCTGAATAGTTAGTTTGAAGTTAACTCTTTAGCTAACATGCAAATTCACATGCCGATAACCGGAAGTGGACTACCAACAATAAAAGCCGGATCTTCTGAACTGCTTTATAAACTCCTGCTTTAAAATCGCTTTACTTCAGCTCTTTATCATAGTTTTCCCTATATTTGTTGTTCTACATTTCAGTTTAAGACAAACTTAATATAGAACTTCTCAAGATGCAGCTTTTAGTTTGATAGCGGAAAGTGGGTTAGCATGTTAGCTAAATATTACGTTCTGTAGCTCAGAGCTAATTTCGTTTGGAGCTAAATAGTTTGCCTACTCACTTAATATTTAAGGAGATAAATATTTTGTTTATGACCTAAACTAAATATTGCTGAATAAATATTTGAAACTCTGACATTATTAAATTAAATATCCTGCAGAGCTCCTGAGCAGAGGCTTACCTTCCATAATCAGCGTCCAGGATGTAGCTCATGTTGTGATGACCTGTGGAAATCAAACCCTGCTCAGTTGCTGTTCTGCCAGGGTAAAGGTTAAAGGTCAGGGCAGCTTCTTACCAACGTAGGTCCCAGTCGTCCTGCAGCTCATGTAGCCCCAGTTTGACGTTTCAGAGTCCAGCTGCAGGTTGTACCTTCACACAGACAGACTGAGCTAAAGCAGCTGCTTGCTGAACGATCTGGTCAAACATCCTGAACACTTACAGTTCATCTGAGTTGGGCTTCAGCAGCTCGCAGGGCATTCCCCCCATGTAGGACCTGCAGGGTCACAAAGGGTCACCAGGGGTCACCAGGGGTCATAGCTTTTTAACACAACGCTGCTGTTCCATCCTCACAGTTTTACCAACGTACACATTCATTTCTCCAGTCATTTTTTATGTTCTTTGTTTTTGAGACTTTTTAAGGGATTCATTTCATTTGGAGGAGGTGACCTTTAACCCCTGTGTGTTGGTCAACCCTATGGATTGATGTGCCCACCTCAGGAACCTGACATTGAGGCCACTGGAGCTCAGGTCCGTGTTGCTCCCGTAAACGTCAGAGTAGATCCGGCCTCGGATCGTCACCAGCGTTCCTGCAGGACAGTTCACATCCCGTTACTGAAACTGGAAGGCTGAACTGGGCCGGATCGGTCCCAGCAGCAGGTTCTGGTGGTACCTGGGAGGCCGGTGAGTGGGCTCAGGGAGTAGATGGTCGGAGTGCGCCACCAACGGGTCTGAAGGAGAGAGGGGCAGATCAGAACCAGAACAGGAAGGTAAAACAAGTGGAGGGAGACAATGGGAAAACTGGAGGGAGAACCGGAGGAGGAAACCGGAGGAGGAACTGGAGGAGGAACAGGAGGAGGAACCGGAGGAGGAACAGGAGGAGGAACTGGAGGAGGAAACCGGAGGAGGAACAGGAGGAGGAAACCGGAGGAGGAACAGGAGGAGGAACTGGAGGAGGAAACCGGAGGAGAAACAGGGGGAGGAACAGGAGGAGGAAC